TTACAATGACTGAAACTTTCATTTGACTTATCTGGTCATAGTTTCTCTTTTTGTGTTCTGTTAAATTTCAGCAACGCACACATATCTCCTACTATAAGAGGTGATGGACATGTGGCTCGAGAAGCTTGTTGGTAAACACATCTTCATATTCGGTGGTTGTGGACAATCTGCAGAAACAAATAGTGAAGTATATTATGATGATATGTGCATATTGAGTACATGTACCTTTTAGTACCTTTTATACAGGGGATTCCATTCTATGTTTTTTGGGTTTTGTATAGGTTGATAATGGGTCTTTATGTTCTAGCTACTAGATTATTTGCTCTTTGCATATTCGCCCATTTTGGATCCCCAAGTTTGGCTGCAATGTGTTCACTTTCTGACTTTCACTCCCAGCTTGACCTTCTGACTCATTGCTCTTTTGTTACTTGTCCTCTAGATTGTAATTTGGTTTACACATAAAAAAAAGTTTATTGATTCCTTGATTATGTAAAAACGTTCATATGGAAGCGTGTAACACCATCAGGCTCCCCACCTTTTGCCAGAGACAGCCATACTTGCTCATCTTAGAGGAACTTTATCATCATCGTTGGTGGTGAAGATGGGCATGATTATGATTTATCGGATGTACACATGTTGGATGCGGGTTCATTATGTTCTAATGCAATTTATATATGAATAGTCATGTCTAGATTTGTCGACTCATTTAATGACATGCTTGTATCTTGCAGAGATGCAGTTCTTCATTTGTTCCCTCTCCTAACATGTTGTATATTCCTTCTACTCTATAGAAACCCTTGTCTGGAAGGAGCTAAGTACGACAGGCCAGAAGCTGCCACCCCGAGTGGGATATTCCACCATTGCTCTTAGCAAGAACCTGTTTGTTTTTGGGGGATTTGCTAATTCTCAAAATCTATACGATGGTGCATACATGCTTGATCTTGGTAAGTAAAATGATACTATGCACAAGGCTTATGCATTTCTTTCCCCTAGAAGATTGGGGGACAGTTGGAAGCTCATCCATGTTGGCCAACTGTCTCTTCTAAAGTAATTTACTTCTTGGAAGACTAACCTTTCAAAATTAAGCTGTATTTTCCGACCAAAAAGAAAAACTAGCCAAAATAGTGTGTTGAAGTAGTAGTTTGTCCTACTTTATTTAGTGTGTTGAAAAACTAGGTCAAAGGGGGAAGCTTTATTTAGGACATGGCCCGATATAGTGTGTTGAAGTAGTAGCTTGTCCTACTTTAAGGGATTGTAGCCAGTTACAATATTGGGAGCTCTTCGGTCAAGGCTTACAAGACATAAAAAGCAACATTGGACTCGTTTAACTGTGAAGTTCAAGTACATTGTAGCCATAAGATACAGATTAGTCCAACGGATGTAGGAGTTAAGCAGTGCTGTAGTGCTTGGGTCTCCATTTGCAGATATGTGTACTTTTAATAAACTGTGCTAAAGGTTCCAGGAAACTAACTTCTTCATGATCTAATCTGGTTGCTTAGTTTTTACATGTGAGCTTGATGTGTGATATACCCATTGGAAATTGCTGCTTCCTCCTCTCCCTCCCCCCTTCTTCACTACTCCATTTTTATGGTTTTATGTTTCAGTCGTACTTCAACTGTTGTTAATGCAGAGTCTGCCATGTGGACAAGGTAATGGCTATAGATAACCGACCTTGTGCAAAATTTTCTGCAACCGATGACAGCTTGGATCCTATGAAGAGTGGTATGCTTTTGCTGATTGGTGGTTACAATAAGCATCTTGAAGCATTGGATGGCATGTTTTATTTTATATAGGTCCGTCATCTTTCCACCAATTTTTTTTGCTTGGAAACTTCTACTGGTCTACCACATAATTCCAAATGCAAACTTTTTTCTCTATTGGGGTATCCATAATGAAATATTCCTCATGTATTGAAACAGCTTCATGTTCTTGTTGTCTCATTCATTCAATTATACAACTGACAAACATTCAAGATGAGCAGCAAGTAGAGAGGTTATCCTTAAGGAAGCAACTGAAACTAAAATGCCAAGAACAAAGTCTCAATTCAGACAAATATCTGGTTAGATTTCATCCAACAGCTAGTTTTCACGATATCATAATATGCTCAAATTCGACTTTTATTATATTCATATACTACATGTGCTGGTGCTCTAGGGATTTCAATTTAGAATTAGGATGTAGCTATGCATTGAGGTGTCAGGAATATTCATGTGTCATTTATTGCACTGCTCCCTACCAGAGCACTTTTCTTTACAGCATTTGAGGCATCACATGAGATGTTGGATTTCCTTTCTTGGCATCAACTTTATTTGCGTTGAATGTTGATACTTCTTATAACTTAACTGTTTTGTGACGGGCTTGCCAATTTGGTGTCATTATTGAATAGTTTATTTACTATTACTGAAGTTTTTTCTCATGGTCGGACTTCCACTTGGTGCTTATCATTTTGTCAACTGTTGAGTAGGATGTTCCACCGGTCTAGTTCTTTTAAGGTGGGAAACGTGTTGTAATTATTCCTTTCTAAATGGATGCTTCAGAGTCTTAAATAGACTCTTTCCTACCCTATTGACCTCTGATTTAATAATTTTTGTGTGGATTCTACTTGTGATGTTATCTAAATCCTGAATGTCTGCTTACAGCACGTCTATCAATTATTATTCAAGTTCTTCAGTATTCCACTCCGACCAATTGGTTTCATCTCTTTTGTTTGCTGATGTGGGTTTGTTTTCCCATAGACATTGTAAATTAGGCATAGATTACTTATTCTGTGGAGATATATGCAATGAGATGGGTCGTCTATGATGAGAATTAATGGGTTTTTGTTACCTAATTCAATGAGTTGCTGAATCCCCCTCCCTTTTTTATTTGAATGGGAGATGAGTTTCCGTATTTTTCTTCTAAGTTTTTGGTTTTAGGTCAAAAGTGGCTTTTACTGATGCAGGGGCAAAATGAATACACTTTTTAGGGTGTTTGGTCTGTTTCTTGATTGTGTGTATTTGGTTTAGCATCAATTAGTTGATAACTATTTCATGGTAGTGCAATACAATAATTTGTGTTCTTAGTTGCATATCCCTAGCAAAGGCTTAAAATATAAGACAAAAGCTTTAGATACAGATGCATGTGTACTTAATATGGTATTTAAGATAATACTTTCCAGGTCACTAGTTTAGAAATCACTGCTGCATGGTTAGGGTGGGCTTCAAACTGTTGTCTATCCCATCCTAACCATCAAAACTGGTATTGTTGGTCTAATCAGATTTGGAAAGAAACATAAGCTCCTAAAAAGTTTGAGAAAACTTTTTGCAGGCATGGGGACAGTACAATTCAATGTTCAACAGGGGAAGAAAACTTTCCAAGCCAAAGTGACCAAAACCTTCCCACATGCACATACTATTGAAACTATTATAGTTGGAAAGCCTTTGTGTAGCTCCTATTTTCCAACAAACCACCCTCTCCTCCATCTGCATGTTACCATAACGATAATAGGTAAGATTATATTCATATTCTTTCTTCCTTTTCTGGGTCAATTATTGATGATTGTCACTGAATTGCTTTTATCAATGTCTGTCTATTCTTGACTGTATGCCAATTCTAGGAAGAGATCAGTGGATGAAAGTGGTGGCGTTGAGTTGAATGGTCATTATGCCAGCAAATCAAAGGCATCTAGAATCACTAACCAGGATGCAATTGATCGGCTTCAAGCTGATGGTGCTCATAAGGAGTCTACATTGCAAGATCCAAGTGCAGAAGCTACTGTTGCTGCTAATGTGAAAAGTCTAGCTTCTTCTGATGTCTCTCAACGCAAAGAGGTGCGAGATATATATATATATATATATTTTTTTGTTGTTGTTGTTGTTTTTTCCAGTTCATAGAGTACTATCAAAAGCTTGAAATGATATGTTTGGAAGTTGATAGGTCTGACCAACTGTGGGTGTTAGAGATCAAGAATTTAGTGGTGTGCATGTTTCTTGTCAGTGTTCAGTTTAGGGAGAATTTTAAGCTCCAGAGGATAAAGAGGTGAAGTTGCTGAGTTTGAAGTTAATTTCCAATTTTTGCTAGAACAAGATGGTGATTCTAGTGAGAGGTTTGCATCTGTGCTGTTGGAATGCAACTCCTGAAGGAATGAGTCATTTCTGCATGTGATGGTCTGCAGAGTGGTGGAAACCAAGAACCAGCAGCCACTCTGAATTTGAATGATAATATGATGAGTGTTACACCAGACTCCGCAGTTGATATTCAAAAAGATACTTGTGCTGCTTCAACTGCTACGACTACTACTAATCCAGCTGCTTTTTCCTTAAAACAAGGTTTGAACCTCAGGGCTGACCATGTAGTTCTTTCTACAGAACAATTAAATCACTGCTATATCGAAACAAACGCAACATAATCTGATCAGAATTTTCAGAAGGCTGCAATTCTGTCATTCTAGTGCCTAAATCCACATATTTACTTATTTATTATATAAAAGATGTTTAGTCAAAGTTGCAACATGGGTTGGGCAAAGTGCCAATTGCCAACATGCTCACCAAGACCAAGGGCAAGTCTTGTCATAGTTTGTTACCATTTGTCAGAGTTTAGCCTATAGAGTTGAAGCCAGTTCTAAAGTTTTCGATCTTGTGCCTTAGTTTCATCGTACAGCTGTTTGATGTGTTGCTTGCAGATGGGCTTGGAACAGTTGATGATAGTGGTATGCAATGCTGAAGTGAAATCACTTTTCAGGATTGGATAAAGATTCAACTGTTTTCAAACTACACTACACGGAAACAGTCGGGTAGAGACCACCTAGAAGGCTGGAACTGTAAATTGGCAACTTCAGGGTGGTGCTAGTCTGCTAGAGAGAGAGATATTTTTACCTCTTCTGATTAGACCACCTAAATATGCTACCGAGTGCTCCTCCCAGCGCTCTGCCCTTTCTCCTAATACAGAATTTGTATCTGATTCAGGTTATTAGATTGGATTTTAGGTGCTGGTACTATCCAAATGTAGACTTATAGCTTCTGTTGAGAAACTTTTGTGTATCATATAATATATCGCAAATTATGCTGCTACTGAACCGACATGCCTCCCTTTTTCCGGACTGCACTTCCCTGCCGTTGTTCCATAGTTCTAAGACAGACAGTTTAAGCAAAATCAGGTGAAGAGATTATATGAACCAAGCTGAGAAAGGTTGTGGGGATTGCAATCTGTAAAGTTGCTTCCCAGAGGGTAGAAATGAGATGTAAATGTAGACCCTTCTACAACAAGAGGAAGAGAACTTGCCTTGAGACGGAAAGACACCTAACTGTTTTTCAGGTTGGAAACACATGCAAATATTCAGCTGTATACATGGCCCTTACTACAATCAAAAGAGGTACCCATAATTCATTCAGGGAAGATAGGAAAAAAAATATAACGGCAGGGCGCAGAGTAACTTTGACACAACTCGTGACTTTGTCTCACTTCTTGGCATCACCGAAGAGATAACCCAGAGAAGATCCACCTCCAGGAGCAGCGTGTACCTTGGTCGATGGTCGATCCTACACATTCGATCCAAACAAAAATAGGTTACACAATGTAGTTGAGATTGCGAAACCCAATTACTGCTTACTGATAACAGACCATTAAATATAGTCACTTTGATTCATCCAAGTATTTTTCATTCAGGTTGGTGGAACAACTAGGTTTTCAAATTAAGGAGAGTGCAGCACTGAGGACTCCCTGTTGGAAGGGATGAGATCTAGAACTAGAGGAGTATAAAAAAACTGGTGAGTTCTGCAAAAGTCAGTCCAAGTCTTCCAAACTGGTTATCATCATATCCAAGATGGATGACGAATGGCAGTCTGATAACTATTGCAATTATATTGGAATTCGGAACTGGCTCTATGCACAAGGAAGAAGATACACCCTGTCACTATGCATAACAAAAGAATTAGGAACTGTGACAATGGAATATAGTTCCAGAACTCTGGTCCCTAAGGGAATGCACTTACTATTGAAACTATGCTAAAAAAAAAAAGTTAAAATGAAGAGAAGGTTGAGAGTAAGATTCATACAGTGAGGAAATTGCCAGTGTTCTGGCCATCAGCGCGGAAATAGTTATTTGTTTTGCTGCCAGAGACGGCAATTCCTGCTGGGATCTGCTGGGTGCCCTCTGCAGGGGCAGCAGCTTGGACAGGCTCAGCAGCCACAGGAGCAGGGGCAGGGGCCTGTTCCACTTTCGGAGAAGCTCTGTTAGTGTTAGGGGCTGGTTTTGGAGCCTCACCACTTCCAAAGAGGTATCCCAGAGAACTCTGCCCTCCCCCACTGCTAACTCCACGGCCCATTCTTACAAATTCAACAGTTACACAAGAAGCTCCAAAATCTGTATATTAAGACACAACAGACACGAAAGTCTTTCAAGTCAACAGTTAATGCTCCACCAAACGCATGAAGCAAACCCAGGAAGCGCAGAGATCAAAACAAAAGGATGTGAAACAATGTGTCAGTACCAGTTCATAAGATTAGGATGGGCCGCAACATGAACAAGGAGATTAAGTGGGATCAAATGAAAAGGGTAAATCCAACCCATGAGAAGCAGAGGCTAAATCAATGCATTCTTGATCTCTGTCAGTTCGAAAACTTTCAAAGATCTCAAAGTCTAATGCTTAGCACAAGAGTAACAAGATGTCACCTAGGGCCAAACAATCATGAGTTCACCAATTCAATCTAAACCTCGAATTGCCATATGCCGTGCAAGTCCAAGATGCAAAGATGGTATCGGTAGCAGTTCAAGGAGAGCCGTCTAAACAGATTCCGCTAACATTGTATCGAAATCTGAGCCAGGTATTTCAGATCTCCAATTAAGAGTCCAAAAGCTTAACCTACGCGACGCCTAGGTTTCAAATCACGATGGTGCAAGGTCGTTATGCTTCCGAGTTCTGACATTCAGAAAATGGGGCAAAGACTGAAGGAAAGAGGGCAAAACAGAAACACACGAGGTAGAGAAAGGAAGCAGGCAGCTTACTGGATTTTCCCCGGAGCCAAACAGAGAAGAGCGAGAAGGAGTTCTGTAGAGCAGAGCAAATGAGGCAGCGATTGGATTGGAACGCTACACACAGCTACTAAGCAGCTTTTCCGCACCTTTTAAATCCAACGATTTTGCTTTCTGGGACGACTGGGTTGTAAATTGTAAATTGTAAATGTGTCGCCGAATCCATTTCCTTTTCCTCTCCTTGATTATTATTAATACGTTACACCGACATTACTAATTTCAAAATTCTAGTTCGCAGGAATGCATTAAATTCATTTTCATAGTTTGAGCGACAGCAGAAGTGTAAATTCATTTTCATAGTTTGAGCGACAGCAGAAGCGTGAAAGTGTATATCTCTCGAAATTTTGATATTGAGATTGTGAAGAGAGCGTCAATAATGGGTAAATTGCAAGGTTGGTCATTGGGATTATTAGAATGTGTCATGTTTGTTCACTAGAAATATTGTATTCCATTCGTAGGCACTGAATTTACATTTTTCATTTCATCATTTGTCACTCTCCGTCCAACTCCGTTAACTTTGTCCTATGTGGTGGTCAACTTCGTGTCGCCGTCCTCGGTAGTAGGCTGATCCAATGGGGGCAAAACCAACAACGTAACCAAATCCCGGCGGCACCCTCAACATGGTTCCATCCACAATGCTGGAATGCTAGTCAAGGCAGTGGTAGAGCATCAGTTCTGATCCCACTACGGAGGGGAGGCAAGAGAAGAGGAAGGACGCGACGATTATACTTATCAAGGGGAGGGTCCGCTTTTTCTTCATTCATCTTCTTCTTCTCGTTCGTTGCACCTACAAGCATATCCAAATCAACAAACGAACCATAACCACAGTCAAGCAGAGAGGGTTAGTGAGTGGATCTGGGTATGCAAATCATGGTCGTCCTTCGCGATTCGTTGTCGCTTCTGCGTCGTTCTCCCCTTCTTCTGCATCAATCTCCAGTCTCTTGTGTAGCCAGAAGATACGCCAACCGGTGAGAACATATCTGTGTCGAAGAAGAGATATGGGCATACGAATCATTGGCCTTTGCAAATCGTCCTCACATCTCCTGATCTACTCCTTTCTTCTCATACCCTCTGTCTTAAAAAAAAAAGAGTGCTGAAAAAACCACGAAAGCCTGACTCGCTCTGACTATCACAATGAAATCCCACCTAAGGCCCAAGTATAAACCTTAGATAGGTGCAATATAGGGCAAGTATGTTTAAATATAAACCCGGGCCGACCCATGTACTTCTACTTCGATTGTTTGAAACATTATCTATCGGATTGGTTTGGGTGAAAACAAAGTTCTAAAGCTAAAATTACTTTGCAAAGATGAAATGGTTTTTGACACTAATTGAGAAGGCTTCACCCGGGTGTTGCTCCCCCTAGATAACAATTAAGACATGAAGGATCGAATGATCGTGTGTGGTTAGGGGGTTATAAACCATAGGAAAGTCTAACAAGTAGGCAAAGCTACCCTCTTAGTCTCTAGGTCGAGAAAATGAGATACGATCCAAGCTACTAATGCGACCCTCTCAACCTATTGACTAAGGATTGGTTAGAAGACAAGTAGCCAAAGCTACCCTCTTAGTCTCTAGGTCGAGGAAATGTGATACGATCCAATCCACTAATGCGACCCTTTCAACCTATTGACTAAGGAATGGTTAGACTTCACCATCGAATTGGAGTTCGATTTGGATAATTTGGATAATTTGGTTTGGTTAATTTGGATAATTTGGTTTGGTTAATTTGGATAAATGGTTTGGTTTGGTTAAAGTTTTTAACTTGTTTGGTTTAGGTGGTTTGGTTTGGTTTGGTTTCAGACACTCCTAACCAGTCAAACCAAATTAACGAGTTAAGTAATTAGTCATATATCTAACATATATTATATACACATACTTAATACTTTGCATAACCACTCAAGAGTTAACGTTCATCCCTTTTAGACTCATAAAATATAAAGCTCAATATTGCTCATATAGTGTATATTTGTATATGTAAAATGTAGACCACAAGCGTCAAAGAGAAACGAGCATAAAAAGTGTACAATTAGGCCGGAATCACTCCCCCACACTTAGACGTTTGCTTGTCCCCAAGCAAACCATTTCACACAAGGTAATCTCTCAACCTAACAAAATGCTTTGGGGAACAATCAAAGGGCACAAAGTGGTGAATCTCAATGGCTATTGGCAATAACACATGGACCGTTGCAAGCAATACCGACATTCACCACAAACGGCATTCGAGGTCACCAAAAATGGGCAAACGAAAAGTTCTCACCTTGTTCATGAATCAATGCAAGTCTCGACAAGATCACTTATCAACCACAACTAACCATGCATAACATTCAAGTCCAAGGAATGAACGAATAGGCAACAAAGGTCCTCACCGGGGTATGATATGACATGCAAAGCAAGAATGAATCACTCAATCTCTTGACTAGTGGGGTCGGGACCTTTTGGTGCAAAGAATGTGCGCAATCATCAACACTCGGCCCTATCGTCTCTTGACCATGGCGGCAACCTCTAAATATTAGAGTTCACGGGACGGTTGTCATCATGATAACGCCATATTTGAACATGTTTTCCCGTCATTTCTTGACCATTTGAGCTTTGTTTCTCGCTATTGTGGTCTGTTTTACGCTTGTGCGTGTTAGTTTATGATGTTTCAGGACTTAGTACGTGAATGGGCGTGATGGAGCGAGGTTTTGGGACGTTTTGGAGCGAAGGACATCGAGCACCTGGAAGTTACTGCTGGACCTTGTTAGTTACGGTCTGGCCCATAACTTCCCGTGAGGAGCCGTAATTGGCGAGTGAAGAAGGCTTGAGTTCCAGAAGACTTTATGGAGTTACGGACTGACCTACGAAGTTACGATCTAGGTCGTAACTCAGTCCTTGCACCCGTAACTCCTGGTTGGCGAAGTCAATAGTTCCAGAGATGTTTTTCAAGTTACGGTCTCCCTCTTCCAGTTATGGTTGACACCTTAACTCCCCAAAGGAATTCGTAACCTTGATTGAATGAACCCCATGTTATGAATGATTGATTTGATAAATTCAGTTGAGGAATTATTCAGAATTACATGAGTCCTGATCAAACCTGTGTAATTCCGGCTTTAACCTAGAACGATAGTCTCTGCATAGGTTAAAAGAGCAACCTTAAATTGAAAGTGGTGAATCAACTGCTTTAGTCGAGAAGTCGATTCACTGCTCCGTACTAGAACAAAGGCCAGTAGTGGAAGTTTCGCGTGTTTAACCTTGGTTAGTGTATGCCAGTGGAGGTTAGTCGCGCGTCGGGTATTCGAATCAAGAGGGTTTGGATAACTTTAGTCGAAAGTCCAGACCAGTAAGAACTTTTTGCGGTTTATCTATCAATATGAGTAATTTGGGACCGTATAACCTGAACTAGCTGCACACTAGGGGGAACAATACCTAGATGATCTTTTGAACCTGAAAAGAACCAGACCATTACTTGCTTTTGTTTTTTTTGCACTAAAATCATTACACTCGCTTAGTCTTGCTAGATAGTAGGAGTTCACTAAGTAAGCAGTAGATCTAGAGCCCGATTCGATAATTAGACTTAACCACTATTATGCATTTCCTCTCTACGATTATACTTGGTCGTAGTTTGGTGTTGTATCGTAGCGAGTCATATCACTAGCTTGTCCGGAGGTCTTAGACACGGGATCAAATGACTGCCGATTGTCTAGGACATGGGTAAAAGGCTTTTTGGGTGGTGGCAAACACATCATGAGGTCCTACATCTTCACCCTAAACCCGAAGGTTCTATGGTTTCAACTAAGAACCTTCCCTACAAACAATGGCCACTAGCATCAGCCAAAAACCTTGCTTCTCCCTTCCAAACTATCACCCATCATGAACTACCTTTAAGTTCTCTTCCTCAGTCTACTGTTTCTATCACATTTCGACTTGATAGTGAAGGAGTTCTAAAACAATGTGGGGGTTTCAATGGCTTGAGTGCCAAGAAACCCCACTTAGAGCACTCTTTGATTCTTTTGTGGCACTCTCTACTTTATTTACCCCATTTTATTACCTCTTTTTCGTTTCTACTTTCCTTTTCTTTCCTTTTCTTTTTGAGGGGGGTACTAGAGGGTTAAACACTTGCCACATTACCTTTAACAACCAATACTCTCTTTTAAGAACTCACTCCAACACTACTCTTTTCTCTTTCATTCCCAGCAAGAACCACACACAATCCTCCTATGTAGAACCTCAATGGAACTCAAAAGCGAGAGCTCCGGGACACAAGAGACAACTCTCGTATAGACACAAAGAAAGGATGGGGGTCGTTCTATCAAACACCATTAAGCTCACAAGAAAAAAGCTCCTACAAGAGAACAACCCCCAAAGTCACAAGGCTCAAAGGGGTTGAATAAGGGATAAAACATTTGGGGGCAATCAACATTTGGGCGTGGACTAATCTGATGCCTCCATCATACGCACTAGTGACAACTGTGATGTTACTCGCCATGGTAAGAGGGATCTAAGCACACAAGAAGAAAACGATCGGCTCAAAACTCACATGGCTACCTAGTCACCAATCATCCATTTCAATTTCACAAAAAACAATGCATGGCAATTGTAATCAACAAGTAATCGAGTCAAGACATTCATTCATTTTTGCACACATGAGAGCTAAAGTTTTGCACTATCCTAAAGCACCTCTCAGTCATCATCATAAGACACACTCGATCACATGCAACAATTCATGGTCAGTGCCTCTAAACACGAGATTCTCCTACAAACCAGGCACTTTGATCATGCAAACATTGCTTGGAGCCCTCAAATTTGGGCATACATCAAGGCTCCAAGCATCAATCACACTCACACAAGCATAATAATAAACTACCCCCCCCCCCCAAACACTTAAGTTCGACATTGCCCTCAATGGCGTAAGATAGGGGTAGAACGATGTTACCGCTTGGTGAATGAAAGTTGGAATTTTTCCGGGGTAGGAGAGTTTAGCTTCAAGGAGAAGACAAAAACACACACACACAAACACAACACATACTCGCTCGAGGCGAGGTTATTACACAAAATAATATGATAGTAGTAGTTGTTCACACATACTAAATAAAAGAAAGAAAAATAAAACAACAGAGTTCAGAGTTCCAAATGGAGAAGTGGGGCGAAAGGAATCGGCTTTGCCACATGTC